GTTTTTTGTACCATGCAGAAGGCACTAAAATAAACTATTTTGCCCAATTGCACCTATGCATTATTGAATTTTCTACTTCTCATTAGTGCTGTAGTGAGCAAAACCTGCATTTCCATATAGAAAGCCTCTAAAGCCAAACCCTTTGCACCAAGACCAAAATTATTTTGTCTGAGTTCTGTGGAACTCAGAGCTGGAATATTAGTTCTCTGAAACTAATGGAAGCATGAGGAGAGCCTTCCTCCTGGCCATCTTTTCTTTTGCTATGTCTTATGGATACTAGAAACAATTATGAAATCTTCAGTGCTAAATTATTTTCCAGATGCAAGTTGGTTACTTGCGCTTTCATATAATTCCTAGAGCAGAAGTTCTGAACTTTTACAGGTTAAATTACCATACTAAGGCTAACTACAATGTATATAAAGCTTTTATTAGAGAGAGGTACTATTCAGGATTGTCTGTGGTAACCTGCATGTATATGTATACTGCAGAAACTACAGTGATTCTAATGCTACTGAGGATTTAATATCAACTCTAAATCATTGGACATAATCATATGATCTTATTGTTAATTCTTTCCTTCTTTCCTTGTTCTTGCCAGCAGAAAGACACTTGGCTAAAATGAACTGTAGTCTAAAGGGTACCTGGGGGGCAGCAGGACAATAGCATATGTCAAGCCATTTCCCTTTCAGAAAGGATGTAAAACCTTTGGGTAAGCAAGAGTTTGCCTATGATGTGACCATGCTAATTTGTGGTTGATTGCTGAAGCAAATAACAGCTTTCTGCTGCAAATAGCAATCAACAAATCCCTGCTGGGCACATGGTTGAGGTGCATTTTCCCACCCTGTGCTTGCAGCAGAGTGCCGCGCACTGAAGCCACGCTTACAGCATCAGTGGTGGGAATGCAGTGATTTGAATGGTCTGGAGCAAGAGTCTCTTCCTGCAGCTTCTGTGGCAGAGTGCCCAGTGGCTGAAATGCTGCACCCTTGAGCTGCTGCACTTACTGACTGTAGGGAAACAAGGCGGGGTTCCCAATAGGAATTACCCTTCTCCATGATTTTGTGCACTGCATGAGGCTCAGTGTGGCACATCCAGGTTGGGATGGGATGTACAACACAGGACATCACTGATACAGAGCTGCACAGAGAGTGCAAACCACTGGCTGCTGAGATAACCTGTCTGCTGAAGATGCTGCTGTCATTTCACAATGTTGTTGAGAGCATAGAAAATAATACTTAAGAAGTGCTTAAAGTAGACAGCATGCAAGTGAATTGTAATGCATCGAGGGGAAAATGTGATAAACTACTCAGCCTTTGACAGTACTCTGTGACACCTCAATTTTTGGAGAAAATTATAAGCTTCTGATAAAATAATAAGAAAAAAAGAAGGAAACAGAAGTCTATCTTTCATCTGTTTCCATCTCTCTAGTTCACAGGAGTGAATACTGCTATAGTAACAAGAAGTGGAGGGTAAAGGCAGATTGAGATGGGAAGGATTGTGATTATACCAGGAAAGGGGGATATAATCAAGTAACACAATCAAGATTAAAGAAGAAAAACTTTAATATGCTGCAAAACAAGAGAAGAATAAAAAATTGGTGGCCTATAGTATTCCTCCTGTAAATACATAAACACAGTATAAAAAAAAAAGATACATATATATATATATTAGTATTTCCAGTGGGGCTGCAGTGAAACTTTTGCTAAGGGATGAGCTGACAGTATAATAATGAACAACGTTGCTATAAATTCTCCTAAAACAAAGGGGGAATGTCACTAGCATGACATTCTAAGGATGTTTAGAGCAGAACTCCTTTTAGAACCATCTTTGCAGGTTAACATGAGCATGTTGAAGGCAAAATAGGCAGAAATGGTGTAGTGGTTAGATGTGAACTACCACCAGTATTGAAGTTAAAAGCTAGCAGAAGTACCAGGGTAAGTAGAGGACCATTAACTTTCATCTCACTCATTTCCAGCCTTTGAAAGGAAGGTGAAAAGGCAGGAGGAGAAAGCAGTACTACAGAATACAGCAGAAAAAATAACTTGATTAAAATTATACCAGATCTGTAGAACTGGAAAGACTAAAGGACCTATTCCTAATCAATAGCACCTCTGAGATAAAACAGTGGAAAAGACAGAGAAATTATTCATCATCTGAGATGAGACAAGAGTGAGAGAAAATACAGGAAATTATTAGGATAAATATTAAGCCAAGTCCTCAGTGGTATGGTTTGCCCATGAAATTGTGTCTGTGCTCTGTGATGTGCCATGTTTCAGCAGAATGCAAAATTCACTCTTGAATGCATTTTGAAAAAGGATCTTGTCATAGCAATACACTGGGGTTCTCCATCATCCTGTGCTTAAACTTTGCTCAAAGCCAGAATATGCAAGATAACCTTTCTCCTTACAGGGTAGGGCCAAAAGCTTTCCAGCAAAGAGACTAGGATAATTTTTGGGAGATGCAGTTGAATATGCCATGCTAAATAAAACTGCAGTTTGACACAAAATTTGGGAACATTTCTCCTGCTGTTAGAAGCTTTGTGAAGAGTGGGATGTACCTGGTGGAAGCTGTGAGACTCATACTGAAATACATTGGAAAGCCACAGTGCTGTGTTAGACAAAAAGGTTAGGTGTGACCTAGAATTTTCAGGCTTAAGAAATAGACAAAATTAAAAAAGAAAAATATAATTTCAGTGTCTTCAATGAAAATCTTTCCTGTGCTCAGGCCATTCAATCTGTTTCATCCATATAATGAATCAGTGCACATGGTATACAGAATGGAAGAGTAACAAAATTTCACTAATATCAGCAGACGTTAAGTGCTGTATCACAGCACTTTCTGTAGCCTGATGTAATGCTGTGTGTTTAGGGTCCAGGGGCAATGACCTGTCCAGGAGGAATTGCTCCTTTTTCCACGATGATGACAGTGAAGAAGTAGGCAAAATACTGGGGACTCTTAATAGGGATATTTTGTGTTCCTCTCTTATATATTGTCTATTGCGGATGGAAATTCTCATGCCACAATTTTGTGGTGGTTATGTGGAAGAAAGCAGGTAGGTGTGAGGGGGTGGCTGCTGTGCAGGAGGCTTTCACTCCACAGTGTGTCAGCCTGTCAGTGCCTTTGTAGGAGCTCTGCTTTATGTTGCAGTGTAGAGAGCTGCCAGGAGAGGGGGGAAAATGGGGAAAAAGGAAGTTTGGTTAATAAAACAGACTTGTCCCTTGAGTGAGAAGCATGGGTGATGTATCAGGGCCTGTACCAGGTTGTAGAGCTGTACATCCTCAATTGCGTATTAAAGACTAAGAAAAGACTCCAAAAGCCTAAACTGCCAGTCTTCTGAATGTATTTCTGTGAGCCTGGGTTTGTGCCATGGGTTCAGGTTATGCTTTCTCTTGTTTATACAACCACAGGCTTCTTGGAGCATCCTGCCTTTTGCTCACACCATGATTAAATTGTACAGGGGGAACATGTGTTTCTCAAATCTCCCTGCAGCTCTTTGGATATGACTGTTTTAAGTTTGACAAGAGGAGGCAAGGGTGCACATGAAAGTGTGCCATTCTGAGTTTGTTCTTTTTTGTGCTTTCATATTGCAAAGATCAATAATTTACCTCCTGTCAAGTGAAACCAGGAGATTAGTTGCATTAATTTTTGAATGCTTTCTTAGTGTGTGTAAATTGATCTTACCTTGCTGAAGTCATGTTTGCAGCCTTACAGTACTGTGGTGGCAGGGGAGCTTCACTGAGCTGTACTGGCTGAATGTACAGCTTAAAAAGCACAACATGTGAATAAACATAGCTGTTATAACAGGAGGCAGGGAATCGTCAACAAACTTGTGGTTTGATGGGGCTGGGCACTGTTTTGGTTTAGGCTGCTTATCAGATTTTTCCTCCAAGGTAATGTTTCGTTGTTTGTTGTTTTCTTCTCAAGTACATCCTCTGCTCTTGGTTTAGCTCATCATCCATACATATGGCACAGAGCTTTAGGCTGATTTCCAGTGCTCTCAAAATGGCCAGTCAGCCCTTACCCAGCCTGTTGTGTTTGCCAGTGTTTTGTGGGTATGACAGGGGTGCAGAAATTCTGTGCTAATGTTCTGGGGGTAGGAGAGGGGTTATGTTTTCAGCTGAACTCTAAGCAAGGGGTGCTGTTCATCCTGAGCGCCTTCGTGCTGCTGTGCTGTGTGTCTCTGACCCTGTAGGCACTCTGTGGGTCTCACCCTCCTGCTCCTGCCTTGCTGCCCAACAGGAACACGGCCTCAAGTGCCTGTGGCTCCTCCCAGCTGACCACATGGTTCTCTGCATGCAGGTTTGGGCTCATCCCGGGGCTCCTGGTGCTGAGGAGTGCTTGCTGTAGGAGGAGAGTGATGCTTGCCCAGCAGTGTCTTTGGGCGGAACAGAGGTTCTTCACACAGGCCTTTATGCTCCATTATCCCTCTGCAAATACTATGCCTGGTAGATGTTATTGTGCCACCTAAAACATTCCTTACTTACATTATTCTGAAAAAATGCTGGTGCTAATCACCCACCAGCAGGCAGCAGTTCCCTCTGAATAGAGAGGCATCAAACACCTGATGCAGCACTGCTCCCCTCAACAGCTCAGCAACTGCCCTTGGCCCATGGCACTGCTCTCTGAGCTGCCATGAACAGATGTAATTCTCTGATCGCATCTCTCATTTGTGCATTGGTTTTGAGCTAATGATGTGTTTCTCTGTGCATACCTAGGGGAAAGAAAAAAAAGGTAATATGGAACTCCTCCTTCATTTTGGACTGTATAGCTCCGACCTGCTGTGGAGGTACTGCACACAGCACTGCTGCTGTGCCTGGGTTTTTATGAAGTCATTGGAAAGATTTAATTAAAACTGTTTTCTGGATTTCATCTTCTGCAGGAATGGTCTTTTAAAGATTCTACCCATGGGGTATTGTTTATCCAATTTAAGGTATTGAATTGCAGAATATTATTCTGGTGTATTTATTCTGTGGAAATCTAGACTTAATTTTTTTCCTAAACAGTTTGCCATTATGTGGAGGAGGCACAGTCCATGTTCTGCAACTGCTGTGAGAGGTGAGATTGAAATGAGTTTGATTTGTTGCTGCATTTTATCTAAAGCCTGCAGGTATCTTGTCCTCATTGTATCTAATACCATAAGTATTTATTGTTTTTCTATTAAAACATTTCCATAGATATCACTGTCACTTATATTGTTCTGTATTTAACTAAAAATATATTTTCCTCCTTGAGATTTTCTCTAGTTCTGGTCACAATACTTCTGCTCTGTTTGTCCCCACAAGCTATTCACTCAGTCTCTGATGCTTGCTGGCAGGGTTTGTTTAGGAATTGAATATTGTGATATGTTCACAATATATCACAATATTCAGTTGGGTGTTCCCATAAGTGCACCATGAAGGTATAGCTCTTGCACTGCCATTGCACCAGCACTCAGATTCCCCAAGTTTCTCAGCTGACAATCCAATGTTTTGTTACCTGTGCTGGTGCTGTAATGAAAACACCCACTGCTCTCCTGTGCTGGAAATCCCATTTTCAGACTCAGTTGCCCCACAGCTCTTTCCCCCACATATTATCCTGGTTTTGAAGCCTCCTCTGCTTCAGGGAATTTCTCACCACGTAGTCAATTGATGCTTCTTACTAAAAATTGAGCCACAGTAAATATCTGACATGATCAATTCTGTTCACCCACAAAATATGACTGGCCCTTTTCCTCAGATCCCAATCATTGCCTTCTCCTTTTAATTTGCTTTACTTTCTACCTTACACTTACTTATTTCTGCAGCCATATTCCTCAGTCATTCCCTAGCTCTGTTCAGAGGAGTTTGTACCTCTGCTGTGCAGAATGCCTCTGAAGTCAGAAGCTCTTTCTTTGGGCAAAACACATTCCTTATGTCTTTGCAGACCTTCTCCCATGCTGGAAGCTCCCTCTCAGACACTTGTCCTGGTCCAGCCTGCTCCCATCTCCATGAGACTGTTCCTGCTCTTGCCTAGCCCCAGTCCTTGGTGGGGTCTGTCAGCCCTGCATCTTTCACCCTTCCAGGCAGGTGGACAGGGCCCAGGGGATGCAGCTGCAGGGCCATGACCAGCTCTGCCCACCCTGCTGGGGAGTGACCAGAGAAACTCCTGGTATGTATCTGGTTTTAAACTTGTATGCTTTTGATTTATATGCACAAAACTGTACCAGCTCCTACCCTTACAGTATAATTTCCCTCTGTTAGTTTTCCTTTTCCTGTATGGTGCCAGTTCTCTATTGTTACTCATTTTATGTATCCTTTATCATATTTGTCAGTAAGTCTCCAGCAGACACAAAGCAGCAGGCTCTGTTTGCAGCAGTACAGCTACCAGAGCTTGGCAAAATAGCAGTGCAAAATCATTTGCATTAGAGCTAATAAAGACAGCTGGAATGGGCCCCAAAATATGTTCAATAAACCAATAAGAGTGACTGCTGTTTATACTCCTACTTTAGCAAAACTAACTGGTTTTCATTCAATGTTTATAGTACTGTAATTGTGTAGCGTAGTATTTTCCTGCAATTTAAAACTAATATAATGGTCAATGCCTGTCTTTAAATGCCGACAGTTTGCTAACAATTTCCGGTCTCATGCCTTGTGCATTTTATTTCCTCCATATGAGGGGAGGGTGAATGTCTCACCATGTACTTTGCTGTAACTCCTGGTAAATGCTGTTTCTTTTATAGTGGCCATTATAACTATCAGTTTGGGGAATAAAAGCATGTTGTGTTTTTTTTAACTCCAACTCCTGTATTCAAAATTATCCAGAAACCTTCTGGAGGAGTAGAGAGATCATAATTTAGCAAAAGAAATATGTGAATTAACCAGTTAATGGCATTCTTTGAAGTTCTAGATGCTAACATAGTGCTGTAGCTTCCTTCTGCATTCCCCCTAGCAAGTTTAGCTTATCTATCCCATGGAAACAATTTATTTAAAATAGAAGTGTCAGACCTTGAGACAATATTTTCCTACCAAATCTAAATATCTTGGAAATACGTGCTTATTCTGAAACATGCACATATTGGCTTCCATAAAAGAACATGCCTTTTTTTTAGCTTGCTTGATGCATGCCAGCAGTTTTTTATAAAGAGGATAACTGATAGACATTCTTAATAATAATGACAAATAAATAACATCCCTTTCTCACAATGCTTGACAATGCAAAGATACTGTACAGGACTATATAGGCAAAAGTAAGAGGCAGAATTTTCCTTTACCCTCTGCCATACATGAAACAATAAATCAGTCCATACTAAGTTCATTTAGCCATATTTTACATCTTCTAGAACTGGAATTGTGTAGCCTACAAAACAATTTATATTTTATCTGTACCATCTAATTAATTAAATGGCCCCAGAGTACCAGACTCACAAATCTCGTTAATAGCTGAATACAGAAATAAAGACTGTTCAACCCTACTAGAATAATATTTGCATATCTCCACCTGCGATGGGTAATAAGTACCTGCCACAAATCAGAATTATGAATTTTGCACGCCTAACAAAACCGCAGGGGAAATTATACCTCAGACATTCCATAATAATTGCAGCTAAGCTGTTTAGTGCCATCCACTTATTCTGCCTGAAATGTTTAAAGCAGCAACAGTTGTAAATGAATTCAGGCACACATTCAAGAGAAAATGTTTTAAAAAGTTTTTCTGTCTTGCCATATGTAATTATCTTTATAGAAATGTTCATCTACAAGTTATAACATGCTCACATTTAAAATTGCAAATTAAAAAGTAAGCTACTCCAATTAAAGTACATTTTATAAGAGCATCCTTGTAAGTTTACTATGATTATACAGGAAACAGTTTGGGCCATGTTTATCCCATTGATCTCCCAGAACTGGTGATCTGTTCTATAAACAACTGCAGCAAGAGGTTTGATTTTTCAGTGCTTCTTTCCCCAATAACAAGTGATTCCTGGGGGAGGGTTAACCATTAAGGCTTGGACAGAAACATACTGCAATGTGGATAGTCTTTCATAGGCTGGGGAATTGGGACATTAAAGTAGGCAGAGTGAGTTTCCTCTGGTTTGTTTATTTTCGTGACACAAGTGGAAACTTCATATGTGGTATAGCTGGAGGAACAGTGAGATGCTGGTGGCCTCATCTTCTGGTTGAGAGGTAAAGGAATGATATTACCTGACTTTATATAACAATAGGATTTGGAGGCAGCCCAAGAGTTCTTTAGAATTACAGGTTCTGCTCAGTCAACTGCATTAGGACAACTCTGGGAGCTGGTTCATTAACTGCTTGCTGTAGGAACAGAGGTTGGTCTGTGAGTGTGGTATGGACCAGCCACTGTGTGTGAATCTGCTGCTTGGGCACTGTGGGACAGCTCCCAGTCACCAACAGATGCTAAGAGCACACAGTGCCTGTTCCACCTCTGTCTTGGGAGATGGCACAGAGACATGGGACGACAGCATCTGTCCCTGTGGGATCCCTGGTCCCAGCCTGCCCCTGCAGGAGCTGACAGGGGACACAGCTGTGCTACTGCAAACATGAGGCATTAGGCAGCAAACTGGTAGTGACAGCCCTGCTGCCTCTTGTGATATGTATGCATGAATTGTTATATTATAGACTTTAGAGAAGGCAACAGACCAACAAGAATAACTCCTCCTTCACTCTGGGTCTCGCTGAACACTTGGTGTTTTATGAAGAGCTAGACTTCGCCTTTTTGCAGCAGAGGTGAACAGAGCCCGAACTGCAATGTGAACTGTATTTGTGATCACTGAAATCAACTTATAATTTTAAAGCTAGTCTTCTGATTTTGGAGTATTTTCTCTTAGTAATGCATAGCACAAGCAAGCCTGCATATGTACATTTAGGCTGCAGGTGAGAGTACACTAGAGGGAAGTGAGACGGGAACCCCATTTCCATCAGATGAGAAGGGCAGAGGCAGCCCAGAAGAAGGCATTTGGGAGGTGCAGATCAGGCTGTCCATGAGGAAACCATATCCTGGAAGGGGCCTGGCAGTTTGGGTAACCATTCAAATGCATCCCTTTGTAGACAAGCAAACTCACCTCAGGGTTAGGTTTATGTTATTTTAGCAGCAGTCACTGTGGCCTTACAACATGCAAATATAACCTCACTGTAATTCTTGCTGTCATTATAGAAGAGGAGCAGGAGAAGGCAGGAGAGGAGTGCTCCTGGAGAGGCAGCCGTGCCCTCTGCCAAGCCCCGCCAGTGACACACAGCCCCAAGGGAACAGGCCCTGGAGTACTGCAGCTCCTGAGCCTGGAAACTTCCACATCAGTATGCTGGAAGGGGAGCACTCATTTTGCCAGTGTTTTAGTAAAGGATTAAAAAATAATTAGAGTTTATATATGTTCAAAAGGAAGGGGCACGGTGGAGCAAGCCACAAGAAGATGATTAAGTCAGGTTGATTGGCTCTGCCTAGAATGACAGCAGTGAGTGTGAAGATTTAGGAAAATAACTGATAGCCTATTACCATGATTAAATGCAGCTTAACACTTCTTTTTGTATTATAGAGGACCAACAGATGAGGTCCCTATGGATTTTTTTTTTTCTTATTACATAAAATGGCTACAGAAGCTGAACTATAATCCCTCGCTAACTTACACATTAGCCCAGGGCAATAAAGATGTTTTTATTGCAGGCAGATTTCATGAAAAGTTGTTCAGTTTTATCTCTGAGTACTGTAATGTGCTGAAGGCATTTAAGTGTCCTGTTGGGACACACTGTCCTGGAAAGCAGTTACTCTCAAAAGGACAGCAAGGTCATTGGAAAACCTTTATTTTCTGCCAGGGGATCCTGCCCTTTCCCCTCAGTTCATCTGCCACTTTTTTGTCTTGGTTGTGAACACAAGCCAAGCCAGACTGTCAGACTGCAATCCCTGCTTGCACTCTGATGGATGCAGATCCAGCACCAGACAAACATGCTTGAAAAGGAGGCCCTGGTCCTCTGGCCTGCTTCCTCCAGCTTTGCCAAGTCCTCCTTCCTCTCCTCCTGCCAGCAGTAAAGGATCCTGTGTCTCTGCAGCAAGGTTTCAAGTTTTCAGTTCACACCTGTTACCTGGGCTGTTCCCCAAAGCAGCAGGCTGGTTCCCTGCCATAAGTGGCCACTTCTCCTGTCTTTTCTAGAAGCAGTTAAAACCTGTAGCCCAGCTCTCATCATCTTAACTTGAATTTTGACAGAACCCTTTTCTCTAACCTTGGCAAATGCAGCAGTAGTTCAACCATGCCTTCCCCAACAGCTCTTACTGTCCAGGCTGCCTCCCTCTGCCTGTCCCTCTTGGCTCATTCCCTTGATTTCACAGATAACATAACCCACTTGTCATCTTTCCCCCATCACTTGGTATCAGACTGCAACTGTCTCTTGGCTCTCACTGTCATTACAGGATGGTTACATTTTCATCAAGACTTTCATGCCTTTTCCTCTTTTTCCTGCACTTTCTCTCCCTTCAGCTGGCAGTGGCACATCATAATTACCCATAATCCTGGCTTCTAGCTGTGATTCAGTGCTGCACGTTTGTTTCTGTGGCTTCTCTGTTTGGAGGACTGTTGGCAGTTCAGGGATCCTCTTTCCCTCTTGGGTGTTCCCCACTCCCCCACAGAGCCTCCATCTTTCTTTTGGATTTTCTTGTCCAGTTCCATTCTTATAGAAGCTCAGATACATGCAAAAGGTGTGAGGGTGTCCTCTCTCTTGAGCCAAAGACTTTATAATCTTTGCTAGCAGCTAACAGCATCAGGAAGTGCTAATTTACTGCTACATCCATGCAGCAGTGTATGATCTTTGCAGCAGTGCTGCTTGGGCTGAGTCCCCTTCCAGTTGTATTCATATCAGCTGGCCTCTATATGGAAGGCAGATGAGGAGCTGGCATTAGTGGTTTCTTTCCATAAACTATTATGCAGAGAATAATCTCTGATTGATGAGGTCATGCCCCACTACCTTACAAAGAAACACATGTGTCTTTCCTAGGTTTAAACATAAGGCCATACTTGGCAATCAGTCAGCAGTTTCTCATTGACTGTGACTGGCAGGGATTTTTATTATGCTTATTTTTGATTTTGTTTCCTTCATTTATCTAAATCTAGGAAATATTTCTATTTAATCTTTCAATCTATAAAAAGTACAGATTTCATCTTATAAGATGCTTTAAGTATGTATAATAAAATGATGGTTTTCCCTTTACCTTGCACATTCCATTCATATTGTAATTTTTTGTTCGAGCTTAAGCAGTCCGTGTTTCATTAAAAAACCCCACACTATTCATATTTCTTTCATCCCTTATAAGATGTTAAAAGGAGTGTTGCTTTGATGAAATTTGGCAGGTAAGAGGATCTAGTTGAATCATCTCAAACCCCTGGAGTTTTGGGCCTCCAGCTATTATAGTAGAGCAGCAATGAGTATTCAGAAATTGGTCCTTTGTTTGCACTGCATTTCCAAGCCATCTGTAGCACACAAAAGCCACAGCTCTCTTTATAGTTCAGAATGAATATTTAAAAGTTCAGTTTTAGGTTTTATTTCTAGCACTTCACATCTTCCTATCCCATCTGTCTTGTGTCTCAGAACAGTTTCATTCTACTGTACTAGGCAATGGCAGTACTTGGTCTTAGAACCACAGGTAAATGGTGGCTCCTTTTCCATTTGATATCAGAGTGTGCAGTGTGTGCGATCAGGATCTACACTGAGCACACATGTGTTTGTTTATTCCCATGCACTCAATTTTTATTTGATTATTAACAAGCAGCTGCAAATATTAGGTCATCCAGTCTGAAACTTTGCTGCATGTGCCTATAGAGTGGCAGAAAACCCAAGCAAGTGCATGAGTGCTGCTGGCCCTGGGTGGTGCAGCCTGGCACCATGGCCAGCACCCACCCCAGACTGGGGGAGCTGTCCTTGGACCCGTGTGCTGAGCCTCCAGTTCCACAGTGAGGCTGGGGAGTGACAGGTGCCCTTGGGAAAAGGGAAGGCATGAGGATACCTCACAGTGAGAGGGAACTCATGTCATCTGGTGTGGAGGAGGCTCTAGGGAGAGGGCTTGGAGCTGCTCACTTCAGATGGTGTCAGCATATGCATTTGTATATTTTCGTATATATGTTCTGTGGAAAATTTAGTAAGAGCTTCTCTAAATTGCAGGAAAATACCTCGTTGTAGTAATTCACCCTGTTAGAAGTTCATAGTTTTAGAGTATTATCATCTAGTTGTATCAGGTTCAGTATTTTGTATCTAAACCTTAGCTACCTCTGACTATAATGTGCCATTTTTTTCTCTTTACATTTAACTAGATACCTGAAGTCACCTCTTTTGAGTCAGAGGTATGAAAAGAAAAGCAACCTATCTTACAGGAAAAAAAAAAAAAAAGAGATTCATCTGCCTCCCGTTAAGTCATTCTTCAGTTTTGTTAAATTGACCATTCCTTGTTTTTATTTTGTGCCCTGTCCTGGGCATGGATGGCACGTCCTGGTGCGATGTTTGTTAGACTCTTGAGGTGCAAATGAATCATTGCCCTTAATGGAGTTCTTACTTTAATTTTTTTTTTTTAATATAGAAGTATATAGATTTATACATGTTTATATATGTATATCACCATCCCTTTCTAGAAAAAGGAGTGAAATATGTATGTTAAGACATATCACTATGAAAAACTTTTCTATCTCAACAAGACCTAAATATAGCAATCACATTGCAATTCACCATGAAAATTCACCTAAGAGTTATGTTGTCTTCATATGAAATAGAATTAAAGTGAATGAATGAAGACTACAGTACCCTGAACTGAGGTCCTGGGATTAACTAAAGAACAAGAGCTTGTAAAGCCAACAGTTGAGGTTCTTCAGTGTATATTATATATTGCTATCTCATCAGATAAACTTAAAAGGGTAAGAAGTATTCATGTTTTTGTACTGTCATTATTTAATAAAATTAAAAAGAATTGTTTTATAACAAGCAATTCTAAAATATTTGATGGTAATTGAAAGTAGGCTGCATTCCCATGAAGATAAGGGTTGTTTTTGCAGTGGTGGGCCTTTTTCTAATGAAAGGCAGCCTCACCTTCTGGCTTTGCATTTCGCTACATGTTCCTGATTTTTTTTTTTTTTTTCTTAGGCTTTAAAGTAATGAACTTCTCTTTTCCACAGATCTCTGTCATCTTCTCCTAGTGCTCCCTGGAGAATAGATGGTCAAAAAGTGAACTGTTTTTCTGGTAGCATATCACATCCAATTCTTGAGTCTGTGCACTGCCTACACAACCATTGCTGTTGCTTCAAACAAGCAGTCCTAAGTAAGTATGAGAATTTCACTTCAAATGTTGTTTTGGTTATTTATTATTTGGGGAACTTTTGTCTGTTATCACTTCATGAGAGACTGAAAAACATAGACAAGTGAAATTGTATAATGCTCCCAAAGCACTTTTTACTGTGAGCAGCTCATCTCCCTTGGCTGCAGGAGTGTCATGGGGATGAGCAGGTGATGCCTGCTTAGAACTTCTTGTGGCTGGGAAAGAACTGTGCTAGAGGTAAGGAAGGCATGATAAAGGCATTTATTATACAGTGTCTATTGTGTCTGTCTATTGCACAAGAGCTCTGTCTTACTCTGCTTTTGTATGGAAATGGAAAATAAGCTTTAATATTCAGATTGCAAAATCTAAGCTATAAAGAATCTAAAGGAAAGGTGAAAAAGAAGAGAAAAATTTAGCTGTTTCATTTACTTTGAGAAATGAGTGGGGCAAAAGCAAGAATGAATAGGGGATGGGAATGAAAGCTCTTATGGCTGGATAGCCTGAGTTAGTTTGTTAAGGACAAAACTTGCAGTGTTGTTTGTTAACATGAGCTGGCCACTGTTAGCTTGACATCAGGTTTTTGCAAAGCTCTTCAAGCAAGGGCTTGCGCTTCCTCAAAAGAAAGAAAAAGTGTCACTCTTTTCCTCATAATAAAAGTAGAAAACATAATGGAGCCTCAGACCATGTCTTGTGAAGGAAACACACTTATACCCAAGCATAACAAAAAAGTCTTTCTCTGGGGAGCTCTGTACCCTTTAGTCTCCAGCTGACCTGCCTCGCCCCATTGGAAAGGCCTGAGCTCCCCAGTGAGCAGTCAGGACTCTGGAAGCATCTGGCAGCCTTTACTCTGACTAATACTTAAAAGTCTCTAGGGCTGCCTATAGTCTCTGGAAATTTTTTTTTCATTTATTCTTTTATGAAACCTTTGTTCCTTCCACAGAGTTGTGTGGCTGGTCTATTGTGAATCTTTGTTCTATATGGTGTTTTTAATCTTTTTCCTTAGTGTGTGTAAAAAGCTGCAAATTTTCTGTGCCTTGCCTGTCTTTATCCTCAGCAGTGAGGTTCCTTCCACAGCAGTAAGTCAGCGGGGTGGAACGACTGCTCTGCCTGGCTGCTGCCTGCCCATTTGTGCAGGTTGTCCAGACCTGTTCAGCTTTTTCTGCTCTGTAGTGCATTTAAATATCAAGGTGGGGTGGGTTCTAGTCCAGGATTTCTTAAAATGAGGACCTGGACTTAGGTACCAAAGTGGATTCAGAAATACTGAAGCTTTGACTGCTCTCAAAAGAGCTTCTTCATTGTTTAAATTTTGCAAGAGATATTTTTTTAGGCATCTCAAGCATCAATTTTAGGAACCTCGTTTTAGGCACCCAGATTTTTGGCTTTGGCCCTGATCTTGTGTAGGTACATGGTGTAGTCTGTCTGAGCAGAAAGGTGCTGGAATGGGTTTTGTCCTCCAAGCATACACGTGCTCCCCTCTCCAGCCTCACACCAGGAGCATGCAGACAATGGCAGTATTTCTCACTGAGTTCATGCTGTCTGATGGCACAATCCAACTGCTTCAGTGTAAATCAAAAAGACTTTAAAAATGTGCAGGTGCCAAATGCTGACAGAACCAACAATTAAAAAGACAGGATCTATAAGATCCTAAGAGAACATCTAACCTGCATTTTTCAAATAATTCTGGCTGTTTTTTTCCTCCTCTTCAAAAAGCAGGACCTGTGTCTGCTGTTTGCCTGGCTTGAGAAAGCCAGAATATGTCTTCAAGGGCTTTCTGAAGTGTCATTGTATAATTTTTCTTTTAACATGAGCTAGGGTAGCCTAGGGACCCGTTTCTTTGGGATAGCTAATTCTGAAATATTCAGCAAAGTTTTTCATTGTCAACTATTTTACTTTCAATGTCATTCAGTATCAAGGAGTGTGACCAGCTGGCATGAGAAGAGAAAGACAGTTGTTTTTAAATTCTGAACCCTAAGAGGCAGCTGCTTTTCCTGGCCAGTTGTCAGCACCATGGTGCTTTGAGGATGAGGAGGGCTATGGAGAATGAAGCAGAACATAGTTTTGCTGTCCCAGCAGCCTGGACTTTCTCCCACAGAGGAAGGAGTGTTCCTACCCCCAGCTTGAGGAATCTGCTCTGGTGGAAGAGGACAGGCAGGAGTGTGGGTCCAGCTGGGCCACAGCTACAGCACAAGGTTGAGCTTAAATGCTATTTTGTCAGCACTTTGTCAGGCTGGGACTTGCTCACTCTGAGTGTGCAATTGCACTTCCACACTTGGTGTGGTCTGTGCTAAAGGCTGGAAGAGGAAAAGCTGAAATAGAGAGACCAATGGCAAGGGTGAAAGTCCTCACTCCAGGGTATTGGTGTATTTGGTTTTTTTACCCACTGTAATTTGTGAATGGCCAGGTCAGGTCAGAAGAGCCTGTCTGTGCAGCATGGCTGGAGCAAAGCCTGAGTCCTACCCTGTCTGGTGCTGCCAGCCTACCTCTTATCCTTGTCTTCCATTAGGAAGTTGATCTCAAAATCAACAGGACAGGAAGGTACATTTGAAGTCACAGCATTAAGGTTCAAAATATTTAGAGGATACTTTAAAATTGTTGAGTTTTATTAAAATTTTCCTTTCGTAGTGTGATCAACATTTGGTGCCCTGTAGCTGACATTTAAATGAATATTCATGTAAATTTTGTAGAAGAATAAATGGTAGACAATAGGAGGTTCATTGGTAGTGGTTATGGTTAATGCTGAAAACAAGAATATGCACCTCAAACCATGTGTGATTTTCATAGATCAGTTTATGAAGTTGCAGAAAAGGAGGATATTAAAATATTTACTTGTTTTTGTAAATCCAAAGAGATTTTTAAGCCACATATTCACTGTACTTCCAGAATTCCATCAGGCTGCATGTATGCACTTCTTAGTCCTTAAAACTAGTAAGATGTCATTAAAACATTCATTGGCACAGCCACTGTCTATGTTAGCTAGACCTTCAACATTATTAATTCAGCTCTCCTTGCATTTGCATGCAGCACCTCAACTACAAGGCTTTAATGCTGTTCTCTGTTTTGTTCTGCTGTCAGGTATTCAGCTCTGGTGTCTTCTTCACTGAAGAATTTCTATATTACAGCTCTGAATACAATCTGTTTTGTATGCTCATGAACTAGCTCTAGGACTCAACCCCCCTGTATTTTATATTCTGCACTGGTTAATTTTTCATTTCTCTGGCACCTTGGTGAAAAGTAGTCAACACAGTTAACAATATACATTGTGCAACAATAAATATTTTATTGGCTATATAATCTGCACAATTCACTAGTTTGATTTTTGAATAAATCTATAATTTTGAATATTTGGTGAAAACTCATTTTTTATAGTATGCACTATAATCACTGTAAAATGTACGATCTGGTTTTGAGTGGGAGCTGTAGACATTACCTTTACTTTTTTCCTTAACATTGCTAAACTCTAATAAAGCTATTTTATAGGCAGAGTAGTTTGGAGCAAGAAATACAGAGGTTTCACCCTGGGAACAGTATATAATTCATATACTAGTAAATTACAGTGTATTCCTTACACAAGATAGCAGTAAGGAGTGTCTTTTTTCAAATGTGTCTAAATACTTATATATCTACTTTATATATGAATTTGTTGTGCAGTTTTTAGGTTTTGTTGTGTTTCTTGTTTATGCTGTTGGAACAAACAGATTTCTTTATGTCTAGCTTTATGTGTTTCCTGTCCTTGTCTTAAGCCCATTGTAATTAAGGAAGAAATTCTGTTCTTTTCTACCCCAGCATTTCCCATCTATATTGTGTTTCTGTTCATGGTTTCAAATTCAGGAATGTAGGGATGAAGATTGCTTGGTTTCCTTATATATTAATAGATTAGGTTTTTATTGTTGCACACACCTAGAAACTGTACTTGATCCAGGAGACAAAAAGATAAATTACTCTGTATGCAGGTTATTGAACTCCTATCACTATATTGTGATATATTAATTCTTTTTTTAATGCATTCATCCTCACTGTGTGCCTATGAGATAGGGAGTCTAAGTCATAGTTATCTCAAAGATGGGGGATTAAGCCACAAAAAACCCCTAAGCAACTTGACTAAGGCTGCACAGTGTGTTTGGAGCAAAATAGAGAGTGATCAGAGCTCTGAGTGGTGATGTTAAGTATGGGATCACTCCCCCTCTGTTCCAAGGCTTCAGCTCTAGCCTCAGAAGCTATGCTTTCATTCTGTTTGAATAAAATTCCATTTGAAATAAACCAGTATTTCTAAATGAAAGTATCATAGTCTGCAAACCAACCAAGAGATTTTAAATACCATTTTACTGGGAATGTAATTCCCCATAATTTTCCCCTGTGACTTCTGTGTTTTTGGAACTATTGACCAAGTCTCTTGATGGGGCACAGCAACACTGGTGCCTATTTGAATATAAACAAGTTCATGACAAGACGATGGAGCAGCTGATTTTTGTGGAAGGATTTTAAGCACACAGGGAGAAAAACATTTTCATGTCCTCCAAAGGATGAGTGAAAAAAGGAGAAAATGAGCAATGTCTATCAGAGCAAAGTTACTTAGCATAGCTGGCTGCATTTAGGATAGTGAATACTTTCCAGAGAGGAGTAATGAAAGCTCAGGTGCTCAAACAGTTTGAAATGAGACTGGCAAATGTGTTCAGAAAACAATCTGTGATTAAAGAGTGTCTGTTCTGATTATAATGTTTGTTACTGTGAAAGAAACTCATATTGGGTAATACATTGGTTCCAAAACTGGTAACCTAAATATTGATGAATGTTTGCAAAATTCTGCAGTAGGTGCATGGTTTAGAATTCCCTCAGGTAAGAGGAAGAATCACATGTTACTCCCAGATGAAGATAAATGTGTTTGCTGTTGACAAAATAGTTGTCTTTATTCTTGTAATGGAGGACTTTAATACTGCTTCTTTTAAACGTCATCTACTTACCAATATCTTTCTTTTCCACCTTATCTGCTCTCAAAAACTCAGGAT